TACATTTCTTACATATTAAATATTATATAATTAAAATATTTCTTGTTTTATCTGTTCAATATCATACTTATATATTATATTAAAAAACTATTATAGTAAATAAAAAAGTTAATTAAAATTAGAATAATAAAGATTTTTTTTTCTACTCTATATGTATAATTACAAATAACTATTGCCTATCACCTCAAATTTACACATAAAATTAATAAGAACAAAAAACTAACAAGCGTTTAACAATTCAGTTCGATTACATCGATAAGTATATTTTTAGAAGGTTTATATTTAGTTATATTAATTATATTATTTTTGTTTATTAGTTTATTTTATATTTATTATTACGTGTCACAACTTAGTTATTATTCATATTATTTCTTATATTTAATATTTTTTTAAAACTTTATCTTGTTCTTTCACATATTCTTAACTGTAGATTTGTCAAAAAAAAAATAATATAAAGAATATAATTTTTTCGTTCATCTGCCTTATTATATATCAAATATTTGTATATCCTATATTATATCATATTTAATTACAATTTTTTATTAATATTTTAATTAAATATTTACAATTCATAAATTCATTAATAATATTGTCGAGTCAACTTTTGTTCATAAAATTTTTAAAAATATATTATTTTCATTGATTTGCTTATGTTGAATTGAGAAAAGTTGTGCTTTTTTAATTGCATATAGGGAGGATATAAGATTTCTTATATTTTTTATGTATTATTTATTGAGTAATTGTGTTTAAAATTTTTCTATTAAAAATATTTTAAAAACGTGAACTTTTTTGTTTCTATAATTTTTTCAGAAATCACTCATTATTTTATCCCAAGATTACCTATTATCTCCAATTGAGTTACATTTCTTACATATTAAATATTATATAATTAAAATATTTCTTGTTTTATCTGTTCAATATGATACTTATATATTATATTAAGAGAACTAATATAGTGAATAAAAAAGTTATTTAAAATTAGAATAATAAAGATTTTTTTTCCTAATCTACATGTATAAATGTACAAATAACTATGGGTCAAAATCTTTTTCACCCCATTATATATCTATTCTTTCTTTTTCACACCACCCCGTCAAATAACTTCTTTTACACCCCAAAATTCACGAAATGCTATGCGATATTGCACTCGCATGTCCAAAATGAACCAGCACATATCCAATCGGCCGCATAATTTCTGATTATGCGTAAACATTTCGCGTTTATTTAATCGTATATCCACATCAAAACGCATAATTTACAAATCTGCGAACATCTTTCGCATTTTTAATAATCGCATATACAAATCGAATGCAGCATAATTTACGATGATTATGCGCCTTCTTTTCGCAGGGCTATATATCAACCTTGCAAATTTATGACTGCGAAAATATTTCGCATCTAATTCGCATAGTTTGTTGAATACGCATTTTCTGGTCAATCGCATAATTTATGAATATGCGAAGAATTTTCGCATATATCCTCCGGATAATTGACAATTATGTGACGTTTCTTCGCTCGCATATTTAAGAATAATCGCATAACCAAATCGAATAAAGCATATTTTTTACGACTATTCGCACAATTAGGTTGATTGTGCGATTCGCATAACATGTAACATAATAATCGCACAATTAGGTTGATTGTGCGATTCGCATATCATATCCCATAATAATCGCACAATTTGTTGAATTCGCATTTTCTGAAAATTAAATATCCCAGACAATCGCATAATTTTCTAGTATGCGAAAAACTTTCGCATATATCCGCCGGATAAGTGACAATTATGTGACATTTTCTTTCACGCATATTGAAGAATCGTA